CCCCCCGTTCCCCATGCCCCCCCCCCCACTTACCTGCGGGAGCTGCTCTCCAGGCTGCCTGGCAGTCCCATACATGTGTGAGCGCGCACATGCACATGGTGACCCCTGCCTGACCACCCTCCTCCCGTTCCCCCAGCCCCTCGCAACCTGGAACTCTGCCCACCTCCAGAGAGCTCTTTGCAAAACAGCAAAATCCTTGGGTTTCTCCAGCAAATGAGGAATCTGTTGTTTTCTCCAGTTTTGGATGAGAAAAGGAAAACCTGGATCCCTAGTGAAGACATGCCCAGAGATTTCCAATAGGAATTCACAGTGTTAGAAGTGTTCTGCCCTACTGTGGCCTTGTTGAGTGCTTTGCAACAGAAAAAAGCACAGTGTTATTTTTCCGTGCTCAGTAAAGGGTGCAAGCAGAGCTGGCGCTTTTGAGGGGAGCCTTGAGTTTGGAAAGGTGGAGAACCACTGCCTTCGGGGTGGAGGCAGCGCCAAGTCTACTCTGATTCTGCTCTTGGCTTGGGAAATAGGCAGCCCCCTCAATCTGTTGCTTTTTTGCCCTTTCCCCAGGCGTTCGTTTCAGCAGTTCTGTCAGCCTCGATGACGTGAGCGCTCTGGCTGCCCTCATGACATACAAATGTGCCGTAGTGGGTAAGTTGGGAAGTCCCAGGGGGCTCTGGGGTTGGGTGGGGATGGGATGAGGATGTTGCCCAGCAGGGTTTGTAGCAGAGGTTGGAAACAAGGAGGGCCTTTCCAAGGAACACCCAGTGTTGGGTATGCAAAACGTGACAGCAGGAGTTCTGGGTGCCATAAAGGGCATTTCCCTGGGTCTGGGTCTGGGTCTGGGTCTGGGTCTGGGTCTGGGTCGCTCCCCTGACTTGTGAGCAGGGAGATCTGGGAGTTCCTCTCTGCCTGGTGGAACTAGAAGTAGGTGGAGCCCCTGGGGCTGGGGGTCATTCGTTGCATAACTTCCCTCCCTCTGCGGCGCGGAGTTCAGCTCTACGGCATCCACACCTTGTTGAGCCACTAATCCAGCTGCACAAAGTCGCAGTTGCGGGTCGGTGCAGCAGGGAGCACTGCCTTGCGCTCTGGCGGTCCGTCCTCCCCACTTCATGCTGTACTGAGTCCTCTCTGGTGGGCTGTCATAATTGGTGCCTTCACCCCACGGTGCAGCAGCAGGGGACCCAGCAAATGGTGCCTGAGTGCCAGCTGCTGACCTGGCTGTCTGGTGCCTTTCAGATGTGCCTTTTGGGGGGGCCATGGCTGGCATAAAGATCGATCCCAGGAAGTACTCGGTAAGTTGGCCCCGTTCCCTCAGACGTCACACTCCGCTTGCCTGGGATTCACGCGGCCTTTCCTGGACGTGTGCGTGTGGGGGGGGTGACTGATGCGCTCTGACAGGCCTGGAAGAGGAGCTTGTATCAAGCAGAGCTCATCCAGAGGCTGCAAGCAGCAGCTTGAGGAGAGATGGGGGGTGACGGATTCTGATTTGTGGTTTGGTACATTCGCCCAGACAGGTGACAAAGCGCGAGGCGGGTTGGCATCTTGCCTAGCAGGAGAGGGAGGGGGTGTGAGTGAGAGCTGGGTGAGAGGCTGAGCATCGTGTGAGCAGGCTGCAAAGTGCAGTCCTCTCCCACTTCAGTGCAGCAGGGATCCTGTGCCCTGTCCAGGGCCTGCTGTGGCTGCCCTTCAAGTGCCTCGGCCCAAAGAGGCTGTGCCATGAGCCACGCAGGGTCAGGATATGTATGCTTGGGAGCATGTGGTAGTCGCTGGGTGCCATGCCTCAGGTCCAGGGCTCCTTTTTGGGGCCACAGTAACAGCTGTGTTTGCGGTTCTTATGCAGGAAGCTGAGCTGGAGAAAGTCACGAGGCAGTTCACGATAGAACTGGCCAAGAAGGGTTTTATAGGTGAGGGGGCCCCTTCCCGGGCTCAGAGAAAGAGCTGGCTTGTCACGAGGAGTAAAAGCAGGGGCTGAGCAATGTGCCATGTAGCACGGGGAGCGAGGTGGCTGGAGTCTGCTCATGAGGCAAATGCACTTCTCATCATGGCAGTGTGAGGGGTTGGAAGAGCTGTGGTAAATCCCTGCTAAACCACAGGCAGCAAACCCAGCAGCAGGGGCTCTGAAGAGCAAGCTAGAGCGAGCCTCATGGTGCTGATGGATTGGTTGCCGTCTTGCCTAGGGACTGGGGGGGGTGGGACAGGTCCTTGGGGAGTAGAGACCAGCTGGGCTCAATGCCCCTTTTCTCCCTGGCAGGGCCTGGAATCGATGTGTTGGGGCCTGACGTTGGCACAGGCGAGCGGGAGATGTCCTGGATCGCGGACACATATGCACACACGCTCGGCTACAGGGTACGCAGGTGCAGGAGGGAGGGCATGCAGACAGCCGTGTTCCAGGACATGGCACGGGCCGCCTGGCTGGCTCAGCACCTCCCTGCTTCAGGTGGGCAGGGAGTAGCCTCCAGTGTCCCCCCAGTAAATCTGTGAACATGTGGCTCAGGATTTGCCCCGGGTTGAGGGTCCTGGCTTCCTCCAGAAGAAATGTGCAAGACATAGCCTTGACCTGTGACCTCTGCCCTCTGCTCTTTCCCTCCGGCCTGTAGGACATCAACGCCCCTGCCTGCGTGACAGGGAAGCCCATCAGCCAGGGTGGGATCCATGGACGCGTCTCAGCCACCGGCCGCGGCGTGATGCATGGGATTGAGAACTACCTCAGCAACACGCACTACATGGACCTCATAGGCCTGAGCCCTGGCTTCCCCGGCAAGACCTTTGTGCTACAGGTGAGCACCAGGCCGCACCCTGGGGGTCACTGTCCTTTCAGGGGAGTCCTCCCCACCCCCTCCAGTGACAGGTGCCATGGTTGGCAAGCGTGCCCTCGCCTGGCCAGCTCCTGCCTGCCACAGCGCTGCTGGAGTCGGCATCCCGGCTCTCCACCCCCCGGGAATGCAGCCCGCCTTGCAGCCCTGTGCCGGGGGCCAATGGGCGGTGCCAGCTTGCCACCCCCGGTGCTCATATGGGAAAGCAGCTTTGTTTTGTCTCTGGCTGCTTGGCTCCTATGAAGCTGCCGTACAGCCCAGCTCGGCACCTCCAGCCCCCTCAATGTCCCAGGCCTCAGCAGCCCATCTCCCTGTTGCTGTGCTGTTCTCCAAACAGCTCCTGTTTCCAGCCACCTCCTCTATCTCCCTTTGGGCCTGCTGGTGAGGTGGGCCCTGCTGCATTCAGGTCAGCCTGTGGGTTTCCCCTGTAGAACGTGTCTGGCAGGAGCCAGGCTGCTCAGGAGGGGAATTGGCTCTGAGCAGCAGAGCTCTGGGTCACCCCAGCTGCCAGCATAGTTTCATAGTTTCATAGATTAAGGGTCGGAAGGGACCTAGTAGATCTTCTAGCCCGACCCCCGGCCAGGGCGGGAAAACAACAAAACCCCAAAATAAGAAATGGGACTCAAATGAGTCCAGCCAGGTAGGCATCCAGCCTCTTCTTAAAGACCCCCAGGGTAGGGGCCAGCACCACTTCCCTTGGAAGTTGG